CCACTTGCCTTAATTCCACTGGTGCTCTTATATCAAGCAACTGGGCATTGGCATCATCACCCAGTTTTGCATAAGCCGTCTTAGCAAACTCAACTCCCCATGGCTTAAGCTTACTGAATACCAGAGATAAAACTAGAGGCAAGGCCAAAATGGCCACACCACCTGCTATAACCGTAGGATTCTCCACTCCAAAGTTTATAGCACTATCAAGAAACCCACTAAAATCAAAGTCATAAGAACTCCCAGAAGAAGTGGAAGTGCCTACTAACTGCTGTAATGCTTCTTCATATGTCAGTGCTCTAGCAAATTCAGTGCTTAGAACAGAAGATAGAAGCACTAGACCACCATGAACAGTACTCCTTGGAAAGACCTTTGAAATATTTGGTGGGCTGGGATTATAATTTGCAAAATTTGGGGATTTACATGGAGATATAATGGGGAGTGAAAGACTTTTTCTGGGTTCTATTCTCTTGTCTGAAAGAACAGAGATGGGTGTCAAGCCTACTGCATTGAGGGCTTCCATAGCATAATTCTTGAATCGCTAATTCTGGGTTCTCAATAGATTGATGGGAAGGCTTGAATCACCACCATGAACAGTGAATGGTTTTGTTTGGCAGATTCTGTTTGAGAATCAGACGTAGTGATCATGTTAGCTGTAGATAGACTGGTCCAATTTTTTGCTGTTTGAGAGTTTGAGATTGTGTGGCTGAGAAATATCTGGAAGAAGTTTCTGGAAATTCTGACGAAGAGTCTGTACTAGTACTAGTTTCTATGCTACAGTACACACCAGTACAAGCCACAACCAGCTCCGCCCATTGTATAAGCAGATTTTTACCCTGCTTTAAATTTAAATTTATTCATTATAATCCTCGGTATTAAATTAAATTTTTTATTTTAACCAAAAAATTGAGTTGAGGTTAAAAATGTTCTGACGACTGAGCTTTTCACTTAGAGTTCAATCTTTAAGAAAGTTATTGTACAGAAATGGATTATGAAAATTTTATTACAAAACAACGTTATTTTAATCAACAGTGCCATAGTTGAAGGGTGGGTATTATGAATGATTAATGAATTATGGGTAATAAAATTAGAGGACACTATATGTATTTTAAATATTAAAATACAATTATTCCCCTCCTTTATCTTTTATGGTCATTCATATCTTTTGATTTGCATTTAATTCCAAATAGTCATATTTACACCACCTTTAAATGGTGATTGCTTGTATTTATTTTAGTTCATGTTGATTTATTAATTAAGTATATTTGGAAGTTTTTTTTTTTTTTGATAAGTAAAGTGTATTTGGAAGTTACTTTGTTTACTATTTGAATATGTTAACATCCATTCTAAAACAAATAATTTTAACAAATTGTTCTTTGATTTAATTTATTGACTTACTACATCATATTCATTGAATTAGTAATATGTCTTTCACAAATATTGAAACTCACTATCAATTTAATAATTTTAAATAATTATATCAACAAATCAGATTAATAAACTAAGTCCAAAATAACATTGCTCATAATATTATGAGTAGTCATAACTATTTTTGGATGAATTATATTTTGTACTTTAAAAATTTAAAATTCTTACGTTAAAAAATAAATATTTTTATATTATATCCTCAATGTATTAAAAAGTGTTGTAATGTAACTCTTATGTTAGTTTTTGTTATTTTTTCAGTCAAAAAACTCCCCATTAATAGTGACAAATAAAATAACAAAATCTAACAAAAGAACCACATTGCAACACTTTTGATAAATAAAGAATGAAAACCTCTCAATTAACATTGACAAAAAAAATAAAAGAATCTAATAAAAAAGTCACATTACAACATTTTGATATATTAATAATGCAATATGAAAAATTTAATCTTTAAGGGCATATTTGTTTCAATTATTCATTGAGGGTGATATTAGAAATGTATTCCTTACATTTTCTAATACCAATGAAAATTAGTACAAGTAATAGAAAATATTTCAATTATCTTCCATATTTGTTTGTTCAATAGGTATTAGGTAGATCCCACAAACAACTATCTATTCTATCACATCTTATATAACAAATATACAATTTTATCCTAAACATCATTCATTCCATTACCCAATTTATGTAATGCTTTTGCATAATGTTTAAACATAATAAAAAGAAAAATTTTAAAATAATTTTAAGCATATCGGTGACAACGTATTGTTAAACATAATACAAGAAAAAAAATTAAAATAAATTAAAAAACAACATGTGACACCGTATGCTTAAATATAATTTAAGCAAAAAATTCAAAATAAATTTTTTACATGTGAACTCTTTACAGAGGAGGGCATGTGTGTCATTTTAGTCTCTTATTTCGTCATTTCATTTGTATCGAAAAGATAATACCATCGGGAAGGTAGTATTTATTAATATCATGTGCAAAATTTTTAGGACACTAGTTATACCGGGTTGATATTACCATCCAAAAAATAATATTGGTGTGTAAAATGCCAAACAAATAAGATATTAGGTGGATCTTACATACTATTTCCTTATATGCTATCCTATAAGAGCAACTCCAAAAGACTAGCTAAAACTCTCTTTTTAGCTATTTTAGATAGTTTATTCCTGAAATGTGACTCCAACAGAGTAGTTATTCTCCTATAAATTTGTTATAACCTCATTTTTACTAACTACATCTAGTTAGCCACTTTTCATTAGCTACATCCAACAAAACTCCTCAAAAATCTAATAAACTCTTTCAAAAAACCCAATAAACTTCTCCCAAAAATTTAACTTCTGTTATTTGTGTAATTTGATAAGATTTTGTTTTGAATTTTGTGATTTAATTTGAGAGAATTTAGTTTTGGAGTAGTAATTTTTGGGAGGTGAGTTCTCTCTTATAGCCTATAATTGATTAAATTTATATAATGTATAGTTGAATTGCTATTTTTTGAATTTAATTATTAAAAACTAGTTGAAATGATTAGTTAAAATAGATAGCGTTGTTAAAATAAATTTTAAAAAATAATTAATTAAAATAAATAATATAATATTTAAATATATTTTAAATAATTATTTTAGATACCATTATTACATATGCTCCAATACCATCTAATCCTTCAACTAAACATGCCACAAGGGTAGAAAGCGAGAATTCTTAAATCTCTCAATTGAGATTCTCCCATTATTTTTTTATGTTCATAAGACAACTTCACCCTTATCTTTCGACCAATAGCCCCTTAAGTCCACTGGGTAATCAAGAATGTCAACACAAATATCTGCTGAGGGCTTTGTTCTTAAACCCTACACAGTATACAACGCCCAAACTTCACTCCAGACCCAAAAGCATACAAGGTGAGTAGTTTTCTTCAGATTGTATCTGTACAATATAGATAGATATATGAGATAGATATTTTCCACTATCTCTGACAAAATCTGCTCTCCGATGCCAATTTTATCTCTGTACCATCATCTGTTGCTTCTTTAATTCTCCCAAAAAATAAAATCATGGAACCCAAATTCTGTATAAATTTATCCCAATCCTCACCAACTATTGTTGTTTTTCCTTCCTTTCTCTCATACAAATCTGCTATGCTTCATAAACCAAAAGTTTCTGTAGAGGTTCCCTTGTCAGTTTCTACGAAGCAATCAGAAAATACTCCATTTTGGGGTAGAAGTTTGGTTTTGCAAGAGAGGAATGATTATTTGGGGATCGCGAGAAAAACCCATTTCACAGTTAGAGCAATTGTGAAGAGAAGGAAAGAGGCTCCTTTTGATAATGTGATTCAAAGGGATAAGAAGCTCAAGTTGGTTTTGAAGATTAGGAAGATTTTAGTGAGCCAACCCGATCGAACTATGGCACTTCGCGAAATGGGTAGGTTTAGAAAAGTTTTGGGTCTTCAGAAAAAGAGAAGATTTATTGCTTTGTTGAGGAAATTTCCGGCAGTATTTGAGATTGTGGAAGAAGGGGCTTATTTGCTTCGGTTTAAATTGACACCTGAGGCTGAGAGGCTTTATTTGGAGGAGATGAAGATTAAGAATGAGATGGAGGATTTGTTGGTTGTTAAGCTAAGAAAATTATTGATGATGTCTGTGGATAAACGGATTCTTTTGGAGAAGATTGCCCATTTGAGAACTGATCTTGGGCTGCCTTTAGAATTTCGTGACACAATTTGCAGGCGATACCCACAATATTTTAAGATTGTTGTGACTGGACGAGGTCCAGCCTTAGAGTTAACTCATTGGGATCCTGAGCTTGCTGTTTCTGCAGCTGAGCTTGCTGAAGAGGAGAATAAAGCAAGAGAGCTAGAGGAGAAAGATCTAATTATTGATAGGCCATTAAAATTTAATAGAGTTACACTACCAAAGGGTCTTAAACTTTCAAAGGGTGAGATGAGAAGGATTTTTCAATTTAGGGATATGCCTTATATATCACCTTACTCCGACTTCTCTGCACTTAGGGCTGGTACTTTAGAGAAAGAAAGGCATGCTTGTGCTGTTGTTCATGAGATGTTGAGCCTCACTATTGAGAAAAGAACTCTTGTGGATCATCTCACTCATTTTCGAGAGGAATTTAGATTCTCTCAGCAGCTTAGAGGGATGCTGGTAAGGCACCCTGATATGTTTTATGTCTCCTTGAAAGGAGATAGGGACTCAGTTTTTCTGCGGGAAGCATATCGTGATTCTCAATTGGTAGAGAAGGATCGTTTGTTGCTAATCAAGGAGAAGCTTCGTGCGCTTGTTGCTGTTCCAAGATTCCGAAGGAGTGTTTCAAAAACTGAATCAGATGGGGCAGAAGGAACTAGTGAGCCACGAGAAGGAAGTGGTGGGGAGGACGAGGAAGAATGGTCTGATATTGATAATTTGGGTAGTGATGGTTTTGATGATGAGGATGAATATATTGATGACGATGATGAGGGTGATTGGAGTGAGGAAGATGATGATGTGCTACCTGACTTTGAAGAAGATGATGGAAATGTAACCCTTGGACCAAGCAAACCAACTAGACAGGTAGATAACTCAACAAAGCATGAAGGGAAGGTTCTTGTTCCTATGTTCCCTGATGGTCGACAAAGAGAACGCTGGTAAAAGTATGGATATTTTCTTTATATCTTTGAAGGGCCAATTCACGGGGTGCTTACCAGAAAGAACGAATTTTGCTGCTTGGAGGTTCTGCATTTCTTTTAGAACGGCAGTCATGAATTTTCCTCCTAACTTCTAGGTCTAGGAAAGTGGTCAGGGAAAGAGGATCATCAATCATAAATTTTGCCTCTTTGCTGCCGTGTAGCAAAATGCAATCTCTTTATTCGTATTGATTACAAAACAAGACAGCACTGCACCAACTGCTAGGTCTGTTGAGATTGACGGATGCTTTTTTGTTAATATAAAATATTATTTGCTGTTTCTGAAAGAACCAAGTTAGATTTTTCTTATTACATTTGGAAATTTACTGATACATCTGTCTAGCTTGTTTATTTTGTGAATTGCTAGGTGTGATGCTCAAGACTGACCAAGTGACCAGTATCGAATGTGGCCACTAAGTAGGTGATAACTGGCAACTGAATTTTGTTGACCACAAATGTTTTTCTATATTTGGATGAATGGAATGGCTGTACTTATCCTTGTGCGTTGCCCTTAAGATTTGCAAGCAAGTGGACCAAGCTTCTTGCCAATTGCTTTGTGATCTGGAAGGAGCTACTTAGCTCGCCTTACAGACAATGTTCCTCAGTTTACCTTATGTGCTTCTTGGTGTTGGCTGGGTGCTAGGTGTTGATTGGCCTTTGTATTTTGCTTACAAGTAAGGCACAAATGACAGCAAGTGAAGTTGAACTGCTTGCCTATAGTAACAGTGAATTTTGTGTGTTGCATTTACAATTTGACATGTTGTGACGCCATTTCTAACTTTTTTTTCTCAAGTTGTTTGCTAGCAAATTGTTGAGTAACCAACGAAGTCTTCTTTCCAACTATTTGGAGTCAGCTTATTTTGAATTTAATGTCTGTCCTACTGATTTCAATACACGAGTTCACCTGCCATAGCTGCAATCTGTCTTTGAACTGAGATGATCCAGAGAATGTTGATGCTAAGAAAATGGCAAAGCCCCGATTCATGAAGACTCTTCAGGATCTTTTGCAGCATGCATGATGATGAACTTTTTGCGAACCTCATGAGTTTCGGCATAAAACTTTAGTATTGGGATACGCTGTTGGATACTTGGGTTACCTGGAGAGTCTGCATGCCACATAGGAACTGCAGTTATGTATGAGCATGATCTGAGACCGCACACTTGGGCATGGCAAAACTTTCTAGTTTGGGTTGGGAAATAAGTGAGCCTCTATGTTTTGGTTACCTATGAAAGTGAAATATTTTGGAAAACTGCTTCCAATCATCTTCAGTTGAATGGTTTCAACTTGTTCTTGGTCATGCTGGTGTCTGTGATGCTCATTATCCGTCCATAAAAATCGTGGCTGGACCTTAGAACAGGATTTATTTGATTTGTGTCACCTTACAACATTCAAATATTTTGTTTGCGAATCAGTTTATTCTATACTTTCTTTATAACTGAAATTCCTGTAGTATGATTTGGCATTTGCTAAGAAATGTCAAGAGTGTTGCTTGATCTCTCTAAGGGCTATGATGAAGATCGTATTAGTTTTTATATCAAATTGATATAAATCGTAGTAGAAAAGAATCAGGGAAGAGAAGAGAAGAGGAAGGGGATGGTGCAGAAGAAATGGATGAGGAAAAAGAGACAATTTGAGGAAGAAGTACTATCAAAATTTAATATCAATAATCAATAATTATCAAAGTCTAATCTCCATAAAACTCTTATATGCATCTCTTTATATACAAAAACTAAAACCTCAAAACAAATAAATAATGACAAATAAACCCTTAAAACTTAAAAGATAAATACTAAAAATATCTAAATTATTCTCATAATTAATCTAAAATATATATCCAATTCTTATACAATCCTCATTATTTTCCCCCGGTTGGGAAAAACTTTCAATCAGAAAGTACCCTAAGAGAGCAACATGAAAATGATAGAATGCCTCATCTAGAATGAAAGAGATAAACTCCATCAAGATAAATGCAAGAATCTCCATTTGTAGAAACACCTGCTAATAAAATATGAGACTTTGAAGTATCTCGATTAAGTAGTATGTCCTCCAAATAAAAATTTGAACTAATACAAACATTCAATAAAAAATTAAGCAAATAAACATTAAATTCAAACCCGAAAATAGCAAAATAATTCTCATTAGGTTTCAACAAAAAGTATCCAATGGGACAAGATATCGATGTCAAATGAGTATCAATAACAGTAGACAAAGAAACAAAGTTTACACTACCAAGTGGGACAGAATCTAGAACAATGTCAACAATTTCAGGTGGATAAGAATCCACAACAATGCCTTCATGATTCAAAATAGTAGACATAGAATAATTGCCAACAGATTCTAAAATAGATAGCTCAATATGTTCAACATCTTGCATAAGAACCTGAATGAATTTTTCCTCAAGTTCAATAATTAGTGATAATTCAACTTTTGGCTCTGATGAGGTAGGAAACATGGTAGGATAAAAAATAATCTCATCACTAGTGTCAATGTTCAAACGATTAAAAGTATGTTTTGAATGATGGAAAACATAAGGGTCTAACATAATAGAAATATGGTTATCATTATGCGGATGTTTGATATTAGATGAAATTGGAGACTTTTCTTTATTTCTTCCATTTGTTGACTTGCAAGAATTTTAGTCAAGTGAGAAAGTTGAATTGTTAATTCAGATAATTGATTCTTCACATAATTGGTCGAGTGAATATTTGTTATTAGGAACTTCAATTTCAAAAATCTCAATCTTTTTCTCTATAACTGTTTGGGCTTTTGAATGGTCATTAATGACATTTAAGATAGATCTAGATTGAACTTGATAATGACTTTGGGAAGCATGACATTGGTAATTATTATGTGACCTAAGTGTCCTAGAGTAGTATTCTATATAATTTCATAATAAAACACAGACATACTATAGATTTTATGATGACTTCAAGAAATTCTAGGAGTGGAATACGTAAAGTGATGACATTGTGAAGAACTGTGAACTTAAGACATTTTTGATGTTAGATAAGTATATGAATATGCATCGTAAGGATCACATAAAACTCATGATTGACTTTGAAAGATGAGAATAACATAAGAACGAGTTCAAGAATGTAATTGATAATTACAAAAAGTGAAAAAACTTAAAAAAAAAATATATATATTGGACTATTTGCAAACTCTCTAATTTTTCAATAAATAAAAATATTAGTCTCAAATTTCTATGGGAGTATGCATACCATAATCAAGAGAAAATTTTAAAACTTATTGGGGATGATTCTGTAATTTCATAAACTTCTGGGGGAAGATTCTATAACTTTTAAAACTTCTAGGGATGGTTCTGTAACTTTTAAAAAATTTTTTGGTGTTTCTATAATTTTTGAAACAACTAGGATGTTGTTGCAATTTTCAAGGATAGTTCAATTTTTTTTTTCACTGCTTATGGTGATGAGCAGTGTTTTTTGACCAAACAGTGATAACATGATTTTTGTGATTTGTACGAATTGAAATTAGGCTCTAATACCAAATTAATATAAATCGCAGTAGGAAAGAATTAGGGATGAGAAGAGAACAAGAAGGGGATGAGAAAAGAAGAAGAAGTGGATGAGGAAAAAGAGAGAATTTGAGGAAGAAGTAATATCAAGATTCAATATCAATAATCAAATAATAATCAAAGTCTAATCTTCATAAAACCCTTACATGCATCCCTGTATATAGGAAAACTAAAACCCTAAAATAAGGAAATAGTAAAAAAAAAAACCCTCAAAACTTAAAAGATAAATACTAAAAGTATCCAAATTATTTTTATGATTAATTTAAAATATCTATCAAATTCCTATACGATTCCATTAGGCTATCCTTCGATTTCTTTGGTTATCTCTTGTTTTAATTATGCAATGTAGGTATCCAAAACTTGAGACCAATTTCATGCCTAACTTTCTTTTGCTGAGTTTATAAATCTTTGTTGTCACAAACTAGTAAAACATATGTTCAGAGAGCTGAAGAGGAGTTTCTTAAGTCCATTGTACAATAACTCCTCATCACCCTCTTCTATTTTGAAGATTACATCTAAGTTGTGTGTACAAGTGATGGTCAAGGACCTCCATCAAACAAAATTTTCAGCACTGTTCCTTTGTTTAAGTCAACCAGTGATGATCATACTTCTTTGGGGCTAGGTCGAATGCAGGTAATGTGACGCCCCTAAAGTCGTAGGTCTTTTATCAATACGTTGATCACCTATCAACCTGCGAAAATGCCCTTGAATGTCACATAACTCAACACCACGACACAACATCCCCTTTACCAGGATCACAACATCACAAAGTTTGGACAGAGTCTCCCTTATACCGGACACTCTCAAATTCATGACCTGTGTACACTTCAATCACATGACCTATCTGAGGCTAATATACTATAATTCATACTCAATTATTGTTCATTTACACCATTTTAATAAAAGGACTCAAAGCCCGGAAGCATAGTAAATCATTCTTAAAATTTAAGAAAAGTTCTACTAGTTGAAGAACTCGTCGTTTTACATGTAGGTCTTACCAACTTTCTCTCGATTCCATCATTTTTCAATTCTAATTCATTCCAACCTTGTACAACACCAACCAAATTCACATAACATGACATTTTGAAAAAAATACAGTTTATACGAGTTCAATATAATCTTTTACATACAATTAATATCCCAAAAACTAGATAACATCTTAGTTTTATAAAATATGATTTAAAGCTAAATTTTGATTCTTCTTCGTCAATAAGGGCCCGAGTGAGAGCCGTCCACTAACGCAAATCCAGCACCCGAAAAAGGTGAGCAACGCTCAATAGGATATCTTTTAAAGAAGTTACTCCCCAACCTAGATACATATGAAATGTTTACATGCAAATTCAACAAGCAATAATCAATCCACTCAAGAATATGCAATTCATAATGAATTATCTATGTCATGTCATGTTATGAGATGAAACTCACACATGTAACTCAATCTGAACCCTTACCGACTCTCATAACACATGCAATGTCATGATTTTGCACATCTAATGACCTTTTAAATATAAACTGTGTGTCTTTGTTGGATAATGGGATTTTCGTGTCTCATCGCCAGTTCAGCATACCGATACATTTTTTTGGACTTTCACCGAGGGAAGTGTATAAACCAGTAACTAAGTCTTGCACCCAAGGGAGTATCTATTCCTTCTTGCTATACCTGACAGAAGTTTTTTATATAACCCGTGCGACTCTGTCGACTTTGGTTCGACTATACCGAGCCTACTCGGTGTTTGATCTAACTATATACATACACACCCACACTCATGTCAAATACCCACGAACACGATATTTTTCCGTGCTTATGCAAATGTATATATACAATTACAATTTTTAACCATGTTCAATATGTCATAAGCACTATATAAACAATTTCAATCTCTAATCAATATACTACATGGTCAATTACATCATAAGTATATAACCATCATCAATAACTTCAATGTCAATATATCAGATGTATATACTAACATATTTCAACATCAATTTTCAAGCATGTTACATCATAATCAATATAATTAACACACTTAATTTACATAAATATTTAGTCAAACACTTTCAATGCACCAAATCATGTAATCACATAAAATACCTAATTTCATCACATAATATAAAAAATCACATCAAGTAATTTTTACATACTCAATTCAAGCTAGAATTGATTTTACTCATTTTTATACCCATTTTTCACATTTCAACTATTAGATAAGTGGATGAAAACTCTACATCTTGAAGCGTGAAGTAATTGGTAGAAAACCTCCCAAGACCCAATCAAGCCTTGAATCTTGATTTTTTCAAATTTTTTTTTTTTTTAAATCTTTGTTGAAATTTGTCATTTTTGGTATGGTTCCATAGCCTTCGACGAGTAGAACAACTTTGATTCTTGGTCCAAGTCAATTTGACCAAAGAAACTCTGTAGATCATAGAGAGAAGTTGAAAGTTCTTTTTTTTTTCCTCTCTTCCTCTCTCCAACGAAACCGGCTGAAAAATGAGGAGAAAATCTGACTTTTTTTTCTCTCTTATTTATATCCCTTGGAATGCTTGGCCTCCGTTGTGCCACACTTACTCTATTCCCAGGTCCTTTTTCCGCCCGAAACGATTAAATTTCGTTCCAGTTTAAGTTTAAAATATTTTTTTTGAATTAGCTTTAAATTATTTTTTAATTTTCAAAATTAATTCCACGTATCATTTATCGATTCATAAAATACTAAAAAATTGATTGATTTAGAATTTGATGAAAATTGTTTAGATAACTAAATTTTGCGAGAAGAATTTAACGGTGAGGTTTGTTTTATGATCCGAATTCTAAAAAAATTTGAATTTTC